TCCTCCTGCAAAACCACCCCTCTTTTTTGTAGATTCACCTTTGTTGGGAGTCTATCAAGACATAATCTCCATCCAAAAAAACCAACTTTGGAAGGAACTAGTCTACACCAGATCATTTTATAAAACTGGTCCACAAGAATGCACTTTACAGGCGCCAAAGCCTCATAAGCTGTTTTCACCACATACTGTCCATCTGGTCCATGTATCCACCACCAGTGGTCCTCCTCGTCTTTCTTCAACTGGACACTCTCTAACAGCTCCCATAAGCCCTCTTCTTCATCCCTCACTCTACCCTTCCTTTCCCGTCTCCACTCCATGTTCCACCGCCACCTATCGTCCTCCCAGTCACCCATCTCACTAACTAGACCCTCCTTCTTAACAGCCAACTCATATAATCGAGGAAATAAATCCCGCAACGATTTATCCCCAACCCAGATCGTTCTCCAAAACCCCACTCGTTTACCATCTCCTACCTCCCATTTAAAACCATTTACCAACAAATTCCTTAAACCCACAGCCATCCCTCCTATTTTAACAACATCACTCCAAATCTTAAACATTCGTCCACTTTCTACTCCAGTAATATCTACCTCCTTCCTACCTCCATAATACTTCTCCCTAACCACCTGTTGCCATAAATTCTCCCCTTCATCACCCAATCTAGCCCACCATTTCCCAAGTACAGCCCAATTTCTCCTACGTAGATCCGGCACTCCTAGACCACCCTTCATCTTACTACAACAAACTAGCTCCCAATTAACCCATGGTATCTTCCTCTTCATTTCTGCCCCACCCCACAAAAAACCCCTCTGGATGCTAATCAATTCAGAAACCACACAACTTGGCAACAAAAAAAGAGACATATAAAAAGTAGGTAAAGAAGAGAGTACCGAGTTGAGCAGAGTAATGCGGCCTCCAACGGACAACATAGTGGATTTCCAGACAGCAAGCTTGGCACGAAACTTGTTAACAACCGGAACCCAAAACTCCTTGCTCCCTGGTTTACCTCCAACTGGCATTCCTAAGTAAGTGAAAGGTGTTTTTCCAACTCCACACTGCCAAACTCTTGATGCCCCTCTCAACCACCTCTCCAACACATTAAATCCACAAACATTACTTTTACTAAAATTAATCTTCAGTCCAGACATTAACTCAAACCACCGCAAAATAGATTTCACCATAAAAATATTCGAACTCTCAGCTCTTCCCATAATGACTGTATCGTCAGCAAATTGGAGTAAAGACACCTCCAACCCCCTTGTACCAATTGGGATCCCATGAAACATACCTACTGTTTCTGCCTTACTGACCAGACCATGTAACCCTTCACCAATCATCAAGAAAAGGAACGGAGATAGCGGATCCCCTTGTCGTAAACCTTTTCCCATCTGAAACTCCTCCGTTGGGC